TCCTCCCTCCTCTCCTCCTCCCTTCCTCCTCCTCCCTCCCTCCTCCTCCTTCTCCCCCGCGCTCGACCCCAACTCCCGCTGCCCGGGGCGTTGCCGCGGCGCCGCGGCGGGCGGGCACTGGGCCGCTGGGCCGCATGCCGAGCGGGGCAGCGCGCCGAGCTGACGGCGGTCGACGCTGGGCACCGCGCCCCACGGGGCCGGGCGACGGGCGGGGGGCTGGGGGCTGGGTGGCTGGGCGGTGGGTTGCAAACCGCGTGCATAGCATAGCACGTAGCACCCGCGTGCACAGGAGGCCGTCTTTATGTTGATATTTCATGCGTGCGCAGATCCCACGATCTCACCAGCCCTCTGGGCAGGTGGTTTTCGGCGTTTCCTTTTCTAACTTCCTTCCTTTCCCTACTCGGGAGGTTTACCTCCCACCTCTCCCTGCGTCTGGACGGCCCCCCCCGCGAGGTGTCAGAGGGCCCTTCATTGTCCACGATGGCCCCGAGAGGTCTTCAGAAAGTGCGAGATGGCCTCCAAGATGGCCCAAGATAGCGGTAGGTGGCTCAAGATACCTCCGACGCGCATCCAAGAGGTCTCAAGACGACCCCAAGACGGTTCCAAGTGCCCCCCCGCTCCCGCCGAAAAAAAAAAAAGGAAAAACAAAACAAAAAAAAAAAAAAAAAAAAAAAAAGAAAAAAAAAAAAAAAAAAAAAATAAAAAAAAAAAAAAAAAAAAAAAAAAAAAAAACAAAAATAGAGAAAAAGTCAAAAACAAAAAGGGGAAAGAAGCAAAATAAAAAAAAAGAAAAAAAAAAAAAAAAAACAAAAAAAAAAAAAAAAAAGAAAGAAAAGAAAAAAAAAAAAAAAAAAAAAAAAAAAAAAAAGCTCCGAAGGCCCCCCCAAGAGGCCAAGATCCTTCAAACACCGGAGGAACATCGATGTGTTTAGCCTTCTCGCTCCGGGCTCTCGAGGCCTCGAGATGCCCACAAGACGGCCCAAGATAGCCCCATAAGTGGCCCAAGAGGGCCCCACGGTCCCCCGACGGCCCCAAGAGCGCCCAAGAGCGCTCCAAGAGCGGGCCAAGAGAGCCCCAAGACTGCATTTTGGACCTTCCGAGGGGGGGACAGGAGTAAAGGAACCCCGTATCTTCTAGCGATCGGGTCCAAGACGGCCCCGAGAGGCACCCCAGGTATCCCAAAAGAGCCCCGACCAAGAAGGCCCCCAGACCCCAGACCCCAGACCCCAGACCCCAGGCCCCAGACAGAAATGACACGAATTACAACCGACTTGTCCCAATTCCAACCGTTCGGAGCGAATTGCAACCAGAAATGTAACCGATTACAACCATGGGATCTTCAGAGGTACTTCTTTCTTCTTTCAGAAGTACTTATGTCTTCTTCAGAAGTACTTATGTCTTCTTCAGAAGTACTTCGGTTCCTTAGGATGCCGTAGGGTTCCTTAGGATTCCTTAGGATTCCTTGGGATTCCTCAGGATTCCTTGGAATTCCTTAGGGTCCTGAGGATTCCTTAGGATCCCTGTGTTTCTTTAGGATCCTTAGGATTCCCCAGGATCCTTCGGAATTCCTCAGGATTCCTCCAGGTTCCTTCAGGAATCCTTGGGAATCTCTGCAAACCCATAGGAACCCTGAGAAATCCTTAGGGGAAGGGGGCGCTTTGGGAGCCTTCTTGAAGTTGTTTTGGGCCACTCTGAGGGCCCTCTTGGGCCTTCTTGGAGCCCTCCCGGGGCCCTTTACTGACTTTTGTTGGCGCCCAAATGAGCCCTAGAAGGGCAACGTTTCGAGGGCTGCAGGGGGGGCCCAGCAGGAGTGACGTCCTACGGAGGCCCAGGGCCCAGGTTTGACATCGCCACCCCTTGGGGGGGGGGCTGCGGGCTGCGATCTGCGATACTGCCGCCACTTTCGAGGGGCGCTGGTAGGTCCAGACGGCCGCAAGAGGGGCAAGCAACCGACGCATATGTTATGTTTCGGAAGGGGCGGGAATAATAACCGAAACAGCTGTTATGTTTCGGAAAAGGGGCGCTTTGGGGGCCTTCTTGGGGTCTCTCTGGGCCACTCTTAGGGCCCTCTTGGGGCCTTCTTGGGGCCCTCCTGGGGCCCTCCTAGGACCGAGAATCGATGCAATTCGGCGCGGTTTTGCTTGCAGTTCGGCGCCCTCTTGCCCATGTTAACATAGTGCCCGTGCGCAGACCAAACTGAAACCAAGTCCAACTCTGGCACGTATGATGGTTTCCAAAACTTCTGCGTTGACGTAAGGTGGCACTTGGTCCTCACAGTCGTCGTGGGCTTCTCTACACTTAGAACCTTATTGTGAGGTTATCCCAAGCAGGTTGGGATTGGGCCCAGTTTGCTTTTCGCACTGGTTGGGATTGGTCCCAGTTGGTTGGGATTGGGCGATTGGGCCTAGTCGGTTGGGACTCGGCCAACTCGGCCCACACGCGGCCCCAGACCCCAGACCCCAGACCCCCCAAAAGAGCCCCTAGACGCCCCAAAAGAACTCCAAGAGGGCTCCAAGAAGGCCCTAAGATAACCCCAAAAGAACACAATAAAGAGCGAAGAGCTCCATGAGTGCCCCAAGCCCCAAGAACCCCAAGAGAGCCCCGAGATGGCTCCAAGTTTCGAAACGCACGCGAAATTAAGATACAAATCAGTGCAACAACCATCAACCATTACGAGTCATCCAAACACCAAGCACACCTCACCCTCATCGAAGCACCATCGTAGCTTGCACCGGCTTCCATCTTAAACTTTCAATGCGGGACGCTCTTTGCGATCCTTGTTTTCCCGAAGACGGCTGCGCAGCTGCATGTGTCCTGCCGCCCCTGATTCACCGACCCCCTGCCGATCGTTTCTGGATTGGCTGGCGGGGGTACTTTTTTGATCTGCGGCTCCAAGGACGATTCCAGAGAGCGGGTCGTATCGAGCACGGGGCAGCACGCAAGATAATTGCCAGCGGGCCAGAAGCCAACGCCGGAGTGCAATTAGCGAATGCTCGCAGCGGCACACGCTAAGAACAAAGTGAACTAAATTCAGGGAGACGCACCTTAGCGTCGAGAATGCGAGGAGTCGCCGAAACGGCGCCAGCTCAACGCGACAAAATACATTCATGGGCCGGTACAAAACGTAACCCGACCAGCCCCAATACAAGTCGTCGCCTTCAGGGAGACGCACCTTAGCGTGGAGAATGTGCGGAGTCGCCGAGACGGCGCCGGCTCAACGCGACGAGGGGGGGAGGGGGGGCTGGCGGGGATACGCGAAGCGTCAATAATAACATGTTATGTGTGATTGTGAATTGCATCCTCATGTATCATGTATGGACTCGGCCTCTGAATCTCTGAACTCTGAATGCCGAATGTCCCTCGGCGAACGGCTAACTTCTCGCTCTCTGACTTCTGGCTCGCGAAAAAAAGTGCGCGACATCCGAGCTCCGGGCGAAGCCTGCGCTCCGCGTCGTGTCCGGCAGCGGACCTCTGACCTCGCACGAGGGCGCAAGGCGCAAAGTCAAGCGAGGCTGGAAACGGAAGAAGGAGGAGGAGGAGGAGGAGGAGGAGGAGGAGGAGGAGGAGGGGGAGGAGGGAGGAGGAGGAGGAGGAGGAGGAGGAAGAGGTAAGAGGCGGGAGGCGAAGGAGAAAGAAGGAAGGAGGAGGGAGAAGGAAGAGGAGGAGGAACAGGGGGAAGTTGGAGGTCGAGGAGGAGTAGGAGGAAGGAGCGAGGAGCAAGGCGCAAGGCGGGCAGCCTCCGAAACTCCCACGGCCCCGCCCCCGGCCCCCCGGACCCTGGACCCTGGATCCTGGACACTCGGGGCTTGGGGCCCCGAGCCTGGAGAGGGGGGGGCGGGGGGTGAAAGGTGAAAAGTCCAAGGGCGGAGACCTGAGAGGAGGCAGGGGACAGAAGAGAGTGAGACACAAACTACGCGCAAAAAGGAACGGCTGCACGGCTGCGCGAAGAAAATTACTGGAGATCATGGCACCCTTACGCAGGTTCTTCGTTCGGATCTGGTTTCAGACAACAGACTTCGGGCATCGACCTCCATGGATCGGACGCCGGACCTCTGGCGTCGAGTCTCCCCTGGGACATCGGAACGGACATCGGACTTCGGACCTCGGGCCCAGGGCCCTGGGCCAGCCGGCCAGCCCCCAGCCACCGGCGCATCAGGAGACAGGAGACTGGGAATCTGAAATCAGATGCTCTCGCTGGCTCGAGACTCGAGACTCTCATTCGACACTCGAGCCCGCCATTGCCCGCTGCGCATCTATCATCTATCGTGCTGGGACGCAGCCCATCGCGCATCGCGCCGTCAGGGCGTCAGGGAGTCCTATCCCTCTCACACTGTCGATCTCACTGTCGATATCTTTATTTCTCTCTCTCTCTCTCTCTCTCTCTCTCTCTCTTTTTTCTCTCTCTCTCTCTCTCTCTCTCTCTCTCTCTCTCTCTCTCTCTCTCTCTCTCTCTCTCTCTCTCGCCGTCGATCTCACTGAGAAGATGGCATACTTACACGTGCATATTCTGTCTCTCTTCTCTCTCCCTCCTCTCTCCTCCAGCTTCTAGCTCTCTCCCTCCCCCCTTTTCCCTCTCCCCCCTTCCTTCTCTCCATCGCTGCGCCGCCCCGCGCCCTGCGCTCTGCGCCTGCGCCCCTTTCTGCTATCTTCTCCACCGTCCGCCATCCATCCTCACCTACTCTTCCTCCTTCCCCCTCCCCCCCCCCTCCTTCTCTGCCTCGTCCTCCCCCTGCCCACTTCCCCCGCAATCCCCAATGCCTCGGCGGGCCAGCGGCGCCCCGTGCCAGCTGGCCGAGAAGGCTGGAGGCCTGGAGGCCGGGGGCTCAAGGCTCAAGGCTCGAGCAAATTAAAAAGCCCCGACTTTGAAATCGAGGGGGTCGCGACTGGCCCAGGACTCCAGGTCCCAGAGGTGTGCACATGATCTCCACGCGGCCTTTCAGGCCGTCTTCAAAGCATCAGGCGGTGGCAAAAAAAGCGCGAAGCGCGTCCACGATAGCGACCTGCTTCGCGTCCTTGGCCGCGTCGAAGGTCGAGCGCAGCTTGTCGAAACTGGGGAGCGCCGACGAGTCGGCCTTGGCCAAACCGCGCGTCATGAAGCCAATGACGTCAACGCTGCCCGTCGCCCTCTCCACCGTGATGTAATTGGCTGGCGTATACAGCAACGCGTGGGGCCCCACCGTGCCACAGTAGAGCTTGTGCTTCAGGCCGAAGTCCCTGACCTTGGCGTCGTCCAGAACTTTGAAGGCGGCTGCTGTCTTTGCCGGGGTCAACAAAGCGGGGTCGATGCCGGAACTCCCCAAGAATGTGCGCACGTCGTCCCAAGAAGCCATCACCACTGATTTCGACCCCGACATATGATACCTGAGGCTGCCCATATTACAATTCTCCGTGCTCACCTTGATGCAGGAATGAGCGAAACCGAACGTGTTCAACCCGCAATACTGATCAAACCCGTTGATCTTGGAAGTGAAGCCCGGCACGGCACTCTCGAGAAACCCTTTCACCCGGACGGCGGCTTCGTTGGTCAAGCTGCACTGCAGTCCGCCGCGCCCATGCGAACCACGAATGGGGGCTTTCAAGAACTCTGCGGCGAACGAGCTCGAGATAGCCTCCACGTCGGGCTCCGAGAGCTTCTTCTGCACGGCTGGGATGCTGATGGCGCAGGGGGCAGACCGCTGCTCCAAGGGCGCCGCGAGGACCAACGACGTCTGGTCCTGCAGAGGAGGGGCAGAGGGGCAGCAGGCAGCAGGCAGCAATTGGACATATAATGCCGAGGGTGCCTTCGGGTAGCCAGGCGGCCAGGCGGGCCCTCGGCCCTCGGCGACTCAGCGGATAGTGGCAAGTGTCCAGAGCCCGACGGGCTCTTAGCATGAGTGGCTCAGGACCCAGGACCCAGAAACATCGAACCATCGGCAAACTCGGTCGGCCTCATTTGTTCTACCTGCGTGGAAAAAAAACGACCCCAGGGTTGCAGGGTCTACCCTAGGACAAAGCCGCCGGCCTCAGCATTGGACGGGCCCTCGACCTGATCATGACCTACATGGCTATATTGGGCATGGGGGAGGGGGGCTGGGGGCTCGGAGCTCAGAGACTCAGAGACTCAGAGGTCAGACCTAAGATGTCTGAAGACCAGTGGTGCGATCATCAAGACACGAAGCCCATGGGATGGCAGAGAAAGAAGCAAAAACCTAACATTAACATAGGTGTAGACATGGAATACATTGCAGGGTCCTGCACACTCATCTCTGGCAGCGGGAGTCCGGAGTCCGCAGCCAACCTCATCAGGACGGATCCGTCCGTGACGGCCTGCGAGGGTACAACCTGCTCCTCGCCCGCCTTGCCCCGGCCCTTGCCCCGGCCCTTGCCCTTGCCCTTGCTCTTGGGCTTCAAGGCAGCGTCGCGCGCCTGGGACAGCTCGCGGGTCGCAGCCTTCACCGCGCCCATCAATTCAACGATCGGCTTCCGCATTGACATGATTGATTTCTTATTCTCCTCGAGGTCGGCCTGGCTGGTCGCGTCATTCATCGCCTGGGCGACGACGTCGAACTCGGCCAAGATCACGACGTCACGGCACGACGCGCACGGCGGCGCCGACCCGACGGCCGCGCGGCCGGCCTGCGAGCCACCAGACTTGCCTTCGGGGATTCATTTGAGAAAGAAACACATCGTCTTGCTATCCCCCAGTTCCTCCTCCACCTCCTCCATCCTCCACCTCCCCCGCTGCTCTTCCACCCACTCTCCTGGAGCTCCCCTCTCGCCACCAGGAGGCCTCTGGGCTCTGGGCGATCGCCCCTCGCCACCAGGACCCCCTCGCCACCAGGACAGCTCGCGGAGACAGAGACAGAAAGGTCCCCCCCCCTCCAGCCTCCCCCCTCTCCTCCCTCCTCCTCTCTCCTTCCTCCTACTCCCCCCGCCTCCTCCTTGTTCCTTCCTCTCCTCCTCCTCCTCCCTCCTCCTCCTTCCTTCTCCTCCTCTCCCCTCCTCCCCTCCTCCAGCCCCTCTTTTCCTCCTTCGTTCCTGCCTCCTCCTCCTCCTCCTTCCTCCTCCTCCTCGCTCCTTCTCCTCCCTCCTCCTCCTCCTCGTCCTCCTCCTCCTCCTGATCCCGTTGCTGTTGCTGCTGCTCCTCCTCCCCCTCCTCCTCCTCCTCCTCCTGCCGGAGTGCTGGAGACTGCGCCAGTGCCAGCATTGAATGTGCCACTGGGCCTCGGTGTAGTGCATGGCCCCCAGAGGGCTGGCGGGGGCGCCGCCAGCCCTCTCTGGCGGGGGCGCCACGCCCGCGACAAGCGGAGGAGGAGGAGGAGGAGGAGGAGGAGGAGGAGGAGGAGGAGGAGGAGGAGGAGGAGGGGGAGGGGGGTGGGGGAGGAGGAGGATGGGAGAGGAGGAAGGAGGAGGAGAGGAGGGAAAGGAGGAGGAGGCGGAGGAGGAGGAAGAGGAGAGAGAGAGAAAGGAGGAAAGGAGGGAGGAAGGAGGGGGGCGAGGAGAATGAGGATGAGGATGATGAAGGGACCCTGATGAGATGAGGATGAGGATGAGGATGATGAGAACGAGGATGCGGATGATGATGAATAAGAATGAGTATGAGGATGATGAGGATGAGGTGCTGAGAATGATGAGGAAGAAGAGGAAGAGGAGGAAGAGGAGGAGGAGGAGGAGGAAGAGCAGCAGCAACAGCAACGGGATCAGGAGGAGGGGGAGTAAGGAAGAGGAGGAAGAGGAGGAGGAGGAGGAGAAGGAGGAAAAGGAGGGAGGAGGAGGAGGAGGAGGAGGAGGAGGAGGAGGTGGAAGGTGGAAAAGAGGAGCCCCCGTCCAGGCATTCGGGCGCTGTAAGTCCCACCGGCCCTTTGGGCGTGAGTGGTTTAGCGAGCTCTCTCTGTTCTCAACCCCCCTTCTTCCCCTTCGGGGAGGGGTTTACCCCTCCCCCTACCCTCTCCCCCTGGACCTGGAGAGGGAGTCCGGCGGGTCGTCAGGGGGGTCAATTTCGACTCCTGGGAGGGCTAAAAAACGACCCCTCACGAGGATTCTGCCCCCGACGGGGGGACGCCGAAAAAACCCTCTCCTCTTCTGTGAAGCCAAAATCATTGATTGTACTACGGTTTCGGCCCCATTTTGGCCTTCTGAGGGGGCAGCGCTCCTTTCCCTTGTTCTCAAAATCATTGATGTTACGAAGGTTTTGGGCTCATTCTGTCCTTCTCAGGGGGTAGCGCTCACTTGCGCTTCTGAGGAGGTCGCAAGAGGCCCCAAGATGGCCCCAAGATGCCCCCAGGAGGCTCCCAAGAGGCCTCCAAGAGGCCCCCAAGAGGCCCCCAAGAGGCCCCCAGAGGCTCCCCACAGGCCCCCCAAGAGGCCCCCAAGAGGCCCCCGAAGAGGCCCCAGAGCCCCCAATAGGCCCCCAAAGAGGCCCCTCCACGAGAGCCCTAACGACTCACACTAAGATAGGTACGAGGGGCCCGAACGACTCAACTACACGAAGAGCCCGAACGACTACACGCACAAGGATGAGCCCGAACGACTCATACCATGGGACGAGGCGCCCGACCCGACTCGCACCACGAGAGCCCCGAACGACCTCGCAGCCACGACGCGGGCCTCAGGGGGGGGGGGGGCAAACACTCACACCACGAGGAGCCCGAACGAGTCACACCAGGAGGAGGGGCCCGAACGACTCACACCAGGATGAGGGGCCCGAACAACTCACACCACGAGAAGCCCGAACGACTCACACCAGGACGAAGAGCCCGAACGACTCACACCACGAAGAGCCCGAACGACTCCCACCAGGAAGAAGGGCCCGAACGACTCACACCAGGACGAGAAACCCCAAACGACTCAAATCACGAGGAGCGCTTTCTCTCCCTCCTCCTCCGCCTCGTCCTTCTCCCTCTCCCCCCACAAGGAGGATGTACAAGGAGGCGGGAGGAAGGAGGAACAGGGGAGATATGCGGGGCCAAGCGGACACACGCCTGAAAAACACGACTGTCGGCATGCTTCGCAAGAGTTGCTGCTGTGAGATGTGAGATGGGCTGGTGGGGATACGCGAAGCGTAAAGAATTTTCGCTGCCTTGCCCTCCTCTCCTTCCCCCCGCGGCTTACGAAGTTTACGGCCGGGGCTGGATGTTGGATCGTCGGATCGACCGACTGTCTCGCAATGCCCTGCGCCGAGTCTCTTGGCGGAGGACGGGGGGTGGGGGGTGGGCAGGGGGCAGGGGGGAGGGGGGGCTTCTCAGACAGCATGGTGCTTCTTTTGTATGTTTAGCGCAGGCTCGGATTCGCGCCGACGCAGCGTGGCATCTCAAGAGGCCCTCGGGACCTCGGCGGCCCGAAGGGCACCGTGAAGCATTTTGCCCTCGGAGAAGCCCACCCGCCCCCCCCCCCCCCCCCCCCCCACCCCCCCCCCCCCCCCCCCGATCTTCCTCATCGCGCCGCGGCCCGCGGCCCGCAACGCGACCTGACAACAGGTTTCCACGGCGGGGGGGTGAGGAGCAGGTGGCCTGCCCTGTCGCGCGCCGCTCTAATCAATCTGCGTTGCTGGAGGCCGGTCTCCGAAGGGCGCCCAGCAGCGGTGCACAGGTGGCAGACTGGCAGACTGAGTGGACCACCTCTCAGAGCAGCCCCCTGAGTGCTGGCGGGGGCGCCAGATCCGCGGCCAGCGTGGAGGAGGATGGACGAGGAGGAGGAGGAGGAGGAGGAAGAGGACGAGAAGGAAGAGGAGGAAGGGAATGAAAAAAGGAAAAGACAGAAGGGGAAGGGGATTTGCCACCATCCACCTTGCGGCGAACCCTGGATGAACTTCCTCTTCTCGTTCGCCAGCTCCGCGGCGTTGCAATCCTTCACGAGCTGGAGGAAGGCCCTGCGGCTCTCGAGGATGCGAATCTCATTCGCGATGTTCTTCTGCACTTCATCCGAGGACTGGCCGGCGAGGTGGAGCGCTTCGCTGGCCCTCTCCAACGTCCAGCCCACTTGCGCCACGAAGCTCTCCTGCCCGGACTCGTACATCCTCCTGGCTTTGCCCGCGGACTTGTCGTAGTCGAACCACTTCGGCTTCTTCGCGGGAGGGCCGTCGCCACCGGGTGCACCCGCTCCGTCCTCAGCGCCGCCGTCGCCGTCGCCAGCCTCATCAACCTCCATGTCCTGCTTAGGCGTGGCCAGCTCCTCCACGTTCGGCACGTCGATGCCCCTGTTCGTGAAGCACTCGGCGCCGCCAGACTTGATCATCTGCGAGCCCTGTGCTCCGAGACCCTCCTGAAGGCTGGCAGCACCTCCCATCATGCTGGAATGGTCCAGCTGGATCTTCTTGTGCATCTCGCCGATGTCGCGTTCCGATGCGTTCCTCAGCTCCTTACTTGCCATGGTCATCGACTTCTCGCGGTGCAGTGCGTTCTGCAGCATCATGATGTCCTTGGTTTTGACCCAGATCCTCTGCTCACCACCCCTGCCTTTCATGTCGTTGGGAGGCCACGTTGCCCCCGGCTCGGCGATTGCTGCAAGCCACTCCGCCCACTGACGATCGGCCTGAACATCGGTGAGCTTGCCGCCGTCCACGGAGTCCGAAAAGGCCACGAACTGTCTCTTCGTCATCATCTCCCCGATCTCTTGCACTATGACCGACGTCGATGCCACAACTTTCTCCATGTACTGAAAAATTTCAGACCTGGGAGCCCTCCGACCAGTCGTTGACACCCTGGCCTTGTACTCAACGAGCACCTGCTGCAACTTC